CGGAAGGCAAGGCGAAAGCGGAAAAAAGTTGGCACCGAAGAAAGTTGGATAGACTATCAAAAGTCGACCAGTAGGAAAAAGGCGCATATAAAAAGATCCAAGACCATTGGTTGGAGGGTGGCGGTATCAGAGGCCTCTAGAGATCCGGAAAAGATCTGGAAACTTGCTAAGTGGGCGAGAAAAGATCCCAAAGACAGACAGAGGTTACCCCAAATAATAGATATCAAAGATACCGACGGAACTATCCAGACCGAAGCCCCAGAGATAGCGCGAATAATGGCTGAGCATTTCTTTCCCCAAACTCAGGCAGCAAATGTTTCAGATATTACTGAAACTTGCTATCCCGAAGAGTTGGATGGTATTGCCTACACCATTACTTGTGCCGAAGTAGAAGAAGCTCTCGGAAAACTACCGGGAGATAAGGCTCCAGGCCCAGACGAGATCTCAAACTGAGTTCTCCAGAAGTGTAAAGCTACTCTTAGTAAAGATCTCGCAAACTATTCAATGCCTGCATCTCCGTGGGGTATCATCCGAAGGGGCTCAAAGAATCGGTAACAGTTGTCCTGAGAAAGCCACAGAAGCCGAGATATGACACACCGAAATCTTATTGACCGATAGCACTTCTAAATACAATGGGTGAGCTTCTTGATAAACTGATAGCCAACCGGATCTCAAAGGCTGCCAAAGACTTTAATTTTCTTCCAGACGAACAGATGGGTGCTCGGCCCAACAGGTCCACGATATCGGCGGTAGAGCTTCTAACCGAACAGATTCATAACATATGGGGTAGAGATAAAAACCAGGTCGCTTCACTTCTTAGCCTTGATATATCAGGAGCCTTTGACAATGACTCCCACGAAAGGCTGATACATAACCTGAGAGTAAAAGATATTCCAAGGTGGATCAGCCGATTCGTATAATTATTTCTCGAAGAAAGAACTACCTTGGTAAATCTCGGGTCTTATATAGGAAGACGTATCTACACCAGCACAGGAATACCACAAGGCTCATTGTTCTCACCGATTATTTTCCTCTTCTTTTTCAGCACGCTCTTGTCGATACTTCAAACTTCTTCTACTTCGGTAGTTGGATTTGTTGATAATACTAACATACTAACATGGTCAGATACAACCGAAGAAAATTGCAAGAAGTTAGAGGAACAGCACGTGATATGCGAGGCATGGGCAGAAAAGAACGGCGTGAAGTTTGCGCCAGAGAAGTACCAGCTCATGCACTTCACACGTGCAAGGAAGCGACACAACCTTGAAGCAACTGTCAGCATACGAGGACATCTGACGTCTCCTCAGTCTTCCCTTCGAGTCCTTGGTATATACTCCGACCCTAAGCTCCAATGGGGCTCCCATATAAAGCATATCCAACAAAAGTTACACACCCAAGTACAGTCAATAAGTAGATTAACGCAGTCAACTTGGGGTGCAACATTCAAGAAGTCAAAGCTATTGTACAGCACAATAGTGAGACCAGCCCTAACTTATGGGTGTTCTATATGGGCTGCAGCTGGGCCAACGGGTAGGATACCAGAAAGGATAGTCAAATCACTACGAAGTATCCAACGAAAATGCTTGAAGCTTATTACAGGGTCACACAACTCTACCAGTAGTAGGGTCCTGGAACACGAGTCTTCGGTTCTCCCGATAGATATCTACCTGAAACAAAGGAGATTCCAACTCGTCGGACTATCAGAAGGACTACCTGTCAGGAGATTGATAGTATCTGCGTGCAGCAAAGCCAAGCAGACTACAAGGGGAACAGAGAACAGGCACGCCAAGAATCGAAAGCAAGACATTGAAGAATGGACCAGAATTTGTGGCCTAGAGAATGCGAAAGGGAGACAAAAAGAAGTCGGTAAGGTGGCCGCGTTCCAGGAGTGGAAAAACTCATGGATACGTCCAGCAAACAAGATACCATCTGGTCATCGAGCTTCGGCAGACCCCGAACATTGGAAAGCCGCAAATATTATTACAGATGAGACAACAGGGAGAAAAAGGATTACATATAGAAACACACCCTCAAACATCCACCGAAACCTAAGTAGGGCCCAAAGCAGTATTGCAGTTCAGATAAGAAGTGAGCACATTGGTCTTAACTCTTATCTGTATCGAAGGAAAGTTCCCGGAGTGATTGATCCAAAATGTCAGTGTGGATATCCGTCTCAAAATGTCAAACATATGGTCTTGGCGTGTCCTCAGTGGGCCATGGGAAGATGAGAGGTGCTTCAAAAGGCAAAAGACAGGTCATTTGCGGCAATGATAAACAGCCCAGATGACAAAGAAATAATTACAAAATGGATCCTGGCAAAAGGCTGGTTTGAACAATTCCGGCTTGCAGGAGAAGTAGAAATAGCATTGGACGAAAGGATGAGACGATGTGGACAAGGATAAGACGGATTTCACACTGTATAAACAGTGTAATCGCACTTCCTGTAGGAAACCTCAGAAACAAAATAGACACGAGACAGACAGTTGTAGGGGGTTTTTACCGAATTTGGTTTCCTCCTGTGTAAATATTATAGCTAGATATTCCTGCATGGGCCCATAGGGTACCTGAACGGGCTAAATGAAATCAAATCAAAATAATAATAAATAATAATAAAATACTATCCTATAGCTATCCCTTGGATTTTAGGCTCGAAAAATGACGCATTTGCTTTCGGAAAGTAGGTGAATAGAACTGTTTTTTCGACGAGATTCAAAAACGTCACTAAACAACACACCTATAACTGCAACTGCTGAGGTGTCCTACAGCAGCCTCCCTCCACCTTAACCTAAACTATCCCAGTCGACAAGGACATCTTCCCTCGTAAACCATCTAGACATATGAATGAATGAAAGTTTATTCGTGAGGGCACAAGCCCTGCACTCAAAAAGCATGACACGGAAAAGACTAGCTTCTCCGACGACTATATACGACGATAAATCAGTTTGATATTTGGATTACTCATGTAGTGGGTGCATTCGCTGATACCACTCGAGACCTCGGTGCTAGGGACTTTCACCCTTACCTCAACCGTTAGTATCCACCAAAGGGAAAATAGGAAAAACCTTTTGCTACCCTAAAATGCCTTTGCCATCTTGTATATAGCCGCCGCGCGAGATATGGCCTCATAGTCTACCCTTTCTCGAGTGAGATAAGTGTCCAGGCTACCCAGACTTTAATTCGGGGAGACGACGACCAGGAGGCGGACCAAAACACCTTCCACCGTTGCCTATTTTTAGAGTGTCGGTAGCACTATCCTAAATCGTTGCCTCTGCGCACATAGACACCCTTACGTCGAAAATACTCGAAAAATGTGCTTCCCAGCATGCCCATTTGTGACCTCTTTACTTGTTCGTCCCACGTTCCAGCTGCCTGCCCTTCCCCAAGATGTGAAGCCCCATTAGAGCAACAGTCCCCCATAGACCAAGACCCGAGTTATGTAGATAAGAACTTAATTTCTTCCTCGCGAATATACATAGCATCTTAAGTGTGTAGAGGGAGATGGCCGGTTTTTGATGAGGCAAATGCCCGATTGCAATTGGAGTGTCACCGGATCAATTGGTGTTGATATACAGTAGAGCAAGTTTAGAATAAATCAGTTAATTAATGAAATCTAGAGAAAGAAGATTGCCTACTTCTTGCTGTATACATAGGGAATTGTAATTATCAGCGCCGATCATAACAATCTATGTTGCTAAGCAACCACATCCAGACCGCAACATTGGTAGCCTCTGTAGTTAGCTAGGCCTTATATTTCATCCCTGCCGCACTGGCGCAGACAGTATAAACACAAGGGATTACTCCCGTATTATGGAGTAAGACCTTATCGATATTTGAGGCGAGGTGGTGTGGTAAGACTGAAGTGGAGGACTCGCGTGGGAATGATAGATCCGACATTGACGAGTAGTCGTCGATTTAAGATGTGCTTGTGACTACTTTCGACTTCGATTCGGATGCGATTCTTCTTGACTATCCCAGATAAGAAGAGCATGTTGAGCGACTACACCGGCACCACTGGAAGGTGAAGAATTCGTCTTTGCCGGCCATGTAGATATATTTTCTCTACCAGGTAAAACTAAAGTGACTCAGTGGAAGAGCTCGCTTCTCTATCACATAACTGAAAAGTAATGCGCTAGATGTTGGAAATGGAAACTCCGAGTGTTGTAGACGTACGGGCCCTCCATTTAGTCTAGGTTCCCGACACAATCTTGTGTGTATGTAAGAGGTTGGAATGGATAGTATGGTAGCAATCCAGACTACCTATTAGAGATATGAGCGGCTGTATGGCGTGGCCACAAGAAGGTTATTGGGGGTTTTCTATGCCTAGATGGCGCCACACCTGTTTATGCTGTGGCTTAGCTATGTGTCGCTTACACCTGTACTTGTAGCGCACACTTTCCACACTTTTAGCTGTAATCCGAACATGACACTCTTTTAGTCAACTTCTACTTTCGTTCCATGAATATAGTGCCCGTTTCATTGCGCAATATTTTCAACACTAGATAATATTTTCTAGGCTTCACAGAAAATACTGGGCTCCAAAGGACACCAGCTCGTCGGATAGCTTTTTCCTTTGCTGAGCCAACCGTCACGTGACAACTCAAAGCACATGCTGCGCTTAGGCATGACGTTAAGTAATATAAAAAATCGTTATAACGAATCCGCACAGTACAGAATTGGCAGTCCCGTTTGTATCAATAACGTAGCCTTATTTATAGCCCCGGTTATTTAACTTCCTACATTAAATTAAATAAAATATTAGTTACATGTCATGGATTAGCATTCTTTAAATGATTATACAGCTTTCGTCAAGCAGTTGAGCAAAATCAATATCTAATATATCTCTATTACCTTTTTGTAAATTTATAAAAACCAACATCCATCTATTGATGTTCCCCAATTTAATCTGAAAGAGATATCAAATAAGCTCCATACACATCTTATCCGATCTCTGCACGCGCTGGAATCGCCCCTTGAAATCTTAATCCTCGAGCAGAGTTCGCTTAGCACAATGGACCTTTTAACAGAGTCTTCAGTAATGTTCCATCGATGAAGCTGTTATCTTTATATTCATGATTATTTTTGACTCTATTTGCAACTGACAGGTCACTTGTTTCTTCTGATTGCTGTAAACTGTTTAAAATAATATCATAGAGTTCAATATTTTTTATCTTGCTGGCTTGAAGTAAGGCGCGAAAAATTTGAGGTCTTATGAATTCAAGAATTACATTACCATTAGTTGTCTCATGTCCAATTTTAGTTACTGGAACCCATGTCATGTCGTAATTACTGTCGCGTTCGAATAAATGTAGATGTTTTTGATACCATAAAAGAACCGTTGTTTTACTACCGGTATTTGTACCTGCTACCACATCGTTTTTGTCCACAACATCTTCTATTTGCAAGGGAATATCGGCATCAATGTTAATAATATTGTGGCTAGGTTGCGGAGCAAAGCAGTTATAATCTCCAAGAATTTGAATAGTTTGGATAAATGCTAGGCCAACTATGATACGACTTGTGCATACTTGATCTCTATCATTTGTGCCAAGGATTATAGAAAGCTTGTTTGTACTTCTCTGAGATAGACTTGTGATTTTTGCTAAACAGTTTTTCTCAGGCTTGTCACGACCAAATGATACTAATTTGGAGATTTTCGTAGAGTCAAGCAACGATGACTTTATTTCATCCAAAATTTGCACACTTGATAGCTGGGGAGAGAAGTACGCAGCAGCTCTTGTATTTTGATTGAGCACCTCAGTTTCGAGAAAGTAGATTTCGTGATTCGATTTTACTGTTGGAAAATGGAGGTTTGACTGGTAGGTGTTATACATGACATTTTGTGATCCCAGATTGATAATTGCCAAATGCTTCGTGACAGTTGATAAGAAGGCAAATATGAAGCCCATTGCCTAATACTGGTCTTTTATCCTGAATATAATTCCGCTGCTGTTAGGATTGATTGAATCCAAGATATTGAGATCAGCTATGCTTCCTTGTTGAATAGAGATTGCGTATTGTCGAGAGTCTAACATGGGCACCAAATTGGTGGGAGAGCAGGACATTTTAAGGTGTCGGAGGAATATTAACAGTTGCAAACTTCATCAACATAATTAAGTGCGTGATTACTGTTCAAAGGAATTTATGCTGGTATATATTAGTTGACTGCAAGTGGTAATTTTCGAGTTGTCCTAATAGAAACCACCCATGGTAAAATCTAATTTCATCATTCGAAAGCTTTTGAATTTGAATGCGAGTCAGGGAGCGATGCTAGATAGCCTGCCATCGAACCGATCGCTGAGTGCTGGAAAATGGGAATTGATAAACTTGCGAGGATTTAATGGATCATGGAGACTCATTTTTGTTGTGGCACTGCTACAATGAACGGTACTGAACGCTCATCTCGAGTTTTTTGCACAAGCGCTACCGAGGTGGATCAGGCCGGGTTCTATGCTCAGGGTAATGAGGCTCATTCAACCATCGGTTTAAAGATAAGAAGCACCTCCTCTTTTATGAGCATGCCGTGCTGGTTGTGATTCGGAACTCACTCAGTCTTACACATCTTAGTTACTTGCTTACCGACCGATAGCATTGCTTGTCGCCTTCAACCTCACCTAGACCTTGGGATCACCTCAGTTTAAATGAGCCGCTAGTTTCCTGCTATATTTAATGCTGGTATCTTGCCTATCTGATCCTCCATAGATCTGAACAACTACACGACTCACGTTTTAAAGCAGGCTCTCGAAAAAAGCTAAGTGGTGTCAAAACTTCCCTTTGACGTCGAAGGAGCTTTGGGTTCCGTCATGCTGAATCAGCGAGCGTACAAACCATTCATATAAAGCTGGTCTGTTGGATTGACGCTTCGGTGGTAGTTAAATTTTAGAGTAGTTAATACGTGATCACCTGCCAATCAACGGCAAGTGTCCGACAAATTCTGCACGTATTAATTATCTTTTAGCGTGGGAGACGTGGTGTTGTTTAGCCGAGATTTGGGCATGGGCCAAACGACTTTGGCCACGCTAATAGCTTGCGCGACATCGAGTTGCTTAAGTACATTACGACTAAAGCCGATCGAATTCAAAAGCACCTGACGGAAAGAGGCTACTTAGCATGCCACGCCCTCCACTACGGGTTGAAAAGTTGGTTAAATCCCGCAAACCGACTATAGTGTCTTGTGGAGAGAAAAGGTAAATGTGTCAAAATTAATGGGGATAGTTTTCAACTTGAAAGGAAAAGTAAGTGGGCCCTCATTTAAAATAAGAAAATCATTTGATATTACCTAAAAAGACACATCTATTTCAAAAATTATTGCTCTGTATTAAAATAGTATATATCGAGGCTCTCAGTATGGCTCGCAAATAAAATGAAAGCATACTGCATGTTTTGTATTAGTCTGCTCCATCCAAATACTTTGAGTACCCTCCAGTTGCATTTATAACCGCTACACATCTTTCATGCATGCTACCGACTAGTCATAATAGCCCCTCGAAAGGGACAAAGTCCCATGCGGCCTCTAGCAATATGCTTAATCTGGCAGAGCACACAAGCCTGACCCCATTTATCTCGGGACTATTTACCTGTATCTAATTTTGAAGATCTTTCACAATGACTCGATCGGGTTCAGTTCCGGAGAGTAAGATTTCCATCTGATGGGCGTTATTCCAACTTCATGTAGCGCCTCAATCGTTGAATATGCTTTGTGACATGGTGCATTGTCGTGCATGTATAGAATTTTTGGATTTTCCAAGTGAATTTGATTCAAGAGGCAAAATCCTTTCACAAAATGATGTGGCTCCCGTTGACCCCCAATCCTTCTCTCAGACTAGGAAAGGACCTTTCTGTGATCCATAAAATGATCCTCAAAAAATCCAGCTGTTCCTATGACCATGACGAGCCACAATACAGGTTTCATCAAACTTATCATCAGGCTTAACTCTGCTATTAGTACAAGGAATATTTTGATAGGATCAGTACGTAATTTTCTTGTGACACGAGGTTTCAAATGAGAATCACCCGATACCAAGATTTCATCAGTCCATAGTATTCGCCTCCATTATTCCTAGCTCCTATCTAAATGTTATAGGGCGAACGTAAGTATTTTCTGCTCATTAACCGCACTCGACGGAGACTTCTTCCGAGCAATGCATCTACCGTAACCTCTTTTTTTGAGGGCATTTGAAAGTTAATACTCATTTCATCCCTGGTGGCTGAAGGGTCCCATTGCTAGATCCTAGTAGCACATCTGACGATTTTAAGAATATTAGCGGACGAAAGCCTCAAGCTCATCGGCTAGTTTCGCGCTCAATTTTGGCGAGCGTCCTTTGCGAGGTGTAGGGTTCTCATCCTCTTGAGCACACGCACGTTGTACTTGCCTTGTTGTAAAGCCAAGTTCGTTGGTCATATTTTGTAATGTCAAGCGAAGTCTTCTTAAAGTTCTTCTTTCAATACATTGATCGCGAGTTAGCTGCTTGCAAACTTTGGTTTCAGAAGCAGACTTTTCGAGAGACATAGTTTGATAGATAAGATGGATTGATAGTGATGTTAAGAATTAATGGGTGTGTTGGTTGGGCAGTCATAGGGGTCGTTGACTATACGTTTCGACATGCGATCTTCGGAAAAGACGATTGGACCTCACGTCATAGCGAGCGGGGTATTGAGGAGAGACAGTCTAACCTATTACGAGCTAGCCTAACTGCGCCTGCAGGGCTAATCCCAAAAACAACCCAGTTTCAAGTTATACCCTTTCTATCACGGAGGGACTGCGGGCGTTCGATAATTTTAATATATATACACATGTTGGAATTACTACGGTGTGGTTTCACGATCGATCGTAATGATTCAGTAAACATTTTTACGATTCAGTTTTTTTTGTTTTTTTTTCTTATATTAAAGTCCTGAGCTAAAGCTCTAGGTCCACTATCGGTACAAGACTGGTGGTATAAGGAAATGGTTAAACTGTCCTTTGCAGCTATTGATGGTGACATGAATTAAGATGATGATTGTGATTAAGATAGATTTCTATATAGTTTATAATACATGATATACTCAGGTTCATATACCTCGAGCCAAGCAACCAGATTATGTTCCTCTAGATCTAGATTCATCAGAATAATTACTTACTCAGAAAAATTCTCCTAGTCTCAGTTGTGTGTTTAGGATCTTGATTAGGTTTCTAGTAACTAGTCAACGATGTTTCTCATATCACTGAGACATAGTCATGGTTGATACAACAGGTACAAACGATAAATCGTGCCTGTACATGACGTTGTGATATAGTCATGATCGTCTGAACAATATCAACTCATGAATGAATCATGTCTCTATATGACAGGTGGAGCCGGCGGGGATCACTGCTTACAGGCCCAACTCATTCCAACCGCGAGACCCGCTACAGAAAAAGTAGAAGGTAAAATATAACTCAGAAGACACCACCTACTCCGACTCCGAAATCGAAACTCCATCCTTCAACCCTAAATTTAGGTACAGAAAAATTTTCTCAGAGAAACGACTCTTCTCGCCTCGTTCCCTTTCGTGTCATGCGTTGTGGCAATGACTAGTTCATCTGATCCCCGCTGAGAGCAGTGGATGAGTGGGCAGGTTGGCTATCAAAACAGCCGGTTTCCTCCGCAAATATTTTGAAATATCGTGGCACTTGGGCCCGAGAAGCTTTTTGATAAAGTCAACGTGGGACATTGACTTTCTGAGCCTACGCATTTGTTGTGCGTGACGGCTACAGTGGATGAAGTGGGTTGGAGTAGTTTCCTTCCCGCAAGAGCACTCCATAGGGGCGTGTGGATTATTAAAACGGCGATGGTATGCCGCAAAATTGCCGTGACCCGTTCGTGCTGCGATTAGTGCCCGGAGGAGGTGCCTAGAGAGAGACAGTTCGGGTGGTTTGCGTCTCCGCACCTGTAGGTTGAGTTGGCGGTATTTAGGCAGACAGGCCTCTTCCCACCAGTCGTCTAGCAGCCTGTGTCGTCTGCGATTCATGAGACCACGTAGATATGCTAGAGTACATGATCCTGGTGGTGTTTCCTGGCTAGGCAATTCTCGAAGTGCTGCACGGGCCATGGCGTCTGCCTCTTCATTTCCTTGGACTCCTGCATGCCCTGGAACCCACTTCACTGATATTTCAGCCTTATCAGATAGCGCACGGAATTTGCGTACATCTTCTGGGCTAGTTGAGGACGAGCCTGTTGTTAGTGCGCTTACAGCCTGCTGGCTGTCTAGAAACACGTGGATTTGCTGCGACTCTCCTACTTTCCTGCACTTTTCGTTCTCCAAGAACTCCAGTGCGGCCTCCAGAGCCTTCCTTGCTCCTACTATCTCTGCATCCAGCACCTCTCCCCCGTGCTTGTTCCCACTTCCTTTGCCGGCGGGATTCCCACTTCTCTATGAAGGACTACATTTGGTGTTGTCCTCATTACTGGAAGTGCAGCCCGCAATCCCATCAGGTTAGCTCGGTCAATCATGTCGCAGAGGTTGGAGGTTGAGGACGTGACTATTCCTCGTTTTGTTGGGCGTTTGGACCCTGGCCACCAGACATCAGATCTAAAGGTTGCGAGCGAGACAACGCACATGTCTACTGCCTTAGTCAATGGCCCAGGAGCTGCTCCCCGAAAGGCAGAGTTGAAACGGCGCATGTGCTGGGCAACTTTTACCGCTTTACCGCACCACGTAGTTACATGGTGTTTGAAATTGAGTCGTGGATCTAGATTCACGCCTAGCCAGCGAATATTTTCCGCAGGCTCAATAAGGGTTCCGTTAACATGAACACCAATTGCTTCCTCTCGGCGTCGTCCCGGAAATTGAATAACTTCCGATTTTTCCGTGTCAAAGTCGACAGCATTATTCCGCGCCCATTCGAGAAGATGATCTATCTCACCTTGTACAGCAGCGGCAGATTCAG